GAACACCCATCAAAACAACAGGCACTACAGATTTCAGTGGAGTAGAGTTCACTTTATGGTATATGACATTTATAGGACGACTACTGTACAACAAAGAATGCATACGACTATTAGTAAAGGTAACTAAAAGCTAAAATGTAAAAGACATAATGGCAGATTCTGGTCATTAACACACACATAGTTAAATAACATCCCCTCTCTGGTGGCAGTACCAATTTTGCTCATACAATAGCAGTTCTTATAGTTACATTTACAACTTTAAACTCTATGATAAACTTTCTTCAAGAATAAAATAAAAAATATATTTCTTTTTTATTTTTATTTTTTTCAGTTTTTGCTTAAATGAAATTGAATTTTTTTTTTTTTAAATTTTATCCAAAAAATACTGACAGAAAAGTTGATTTTTCAGAAATGAAAAAAGTCTTCTATGAGGAAATATACTGATTAATAATAAGCTAGCAAAGCTGGCTAACCACAGGCAGGTCTCTTCAGTGTAACATGTATTGAACATAATTAAATGGCACAGCAGTGCTTTAGACAGTATTACATATATACATTTATCCAGTACATTTGTGCATCATGACTCACTGAGAGCATTGTACATTTAAATTAATTCAAAAACTTCATTTCATGTGTTAACTTTGTGGTTATCAACAATAATCACAACCCGGGCTCAAAAACAAGAATTCAATAATTACATTTAACTGTGCAAAATATCCTTCTAATCTAAGTGAATGCAATCTAACTTTAATGTGTAAATTGAAAATAATGTTGAGTCAAAGACACTTGAAACATTTCCCAGTTTTTGTGGCGTCAGTAACGTGACTTTCATCTGTGTTTGGGTCCAGCAGAGAGCTCGCGCTTCCCTGTCAGAAAAAGCCGACCGCTGCACAAGTTTTTGTTCTGCAGCAAAGCCGCAGCTTCGTTCCGTGCTTTGACTTTCAAATGAAGCTCTTGACTGTCTGATACCCAGGGGAACATAATAAATCAGTCAATGGGAGGTTTATCTGCTCCTCAGTGGGATGACCTCCCATTCATCTCCATGTACTGGGGATGAAGGTTCCTCTTAGGACCAGCTTAGGGAACCACAAACAATAGAAAACAAAAGGTCAGCAAGTATAAACGAGAAAATGTGAACCGAAGTTACTCTGATGGGGTCTGGCGAGCTGTGGCACGTTCACCACTGGGATGTCCTCTGCAGACCATGCCCCTGCAAACATAAGAAAGAAATTATTTGTTGTTTGGTGTTATATACCCTCTGAAGGATTAAAAAGAGTTCAGCTTGCTCACTAATGGAGGATATCATCAGCATGAGTTACACAATCACTGGCAGCCACTCCCTAGTGTCCCTTTTGCACCCTTTGTGGGTTTATTACTGTTTTGTTTGCTTATTCTTTTATTCTTTTACATAATGTAAGAGTATTAGTCAGTGAACCGACAAACATGTCCTTTTGCATTGACATTTGCGCACCTCCTATATTGCTCCACCACCATCGCTGAAACCGAGCTCGTCCTAAAGCTAATAAAAATTGAACAACAGCTACATTTGTGTCTCAAAGTTTCACAGGACTGTTTTGTGTTTACCTTTGCTTTTAATAATA